GTATTAGCTGCAATTTGTCACTGCGTTCTGTCAGGGAGGGAAGGTTTGCTCTTAAAATGCCACTTGGAGAGTAAACAGCAGCCTGCAGAGCAGGATTTGTTTATATCACTTTGGCTGCGATGAATAACACACTTAGAAAGATATATTGAATATGAAACATGGAAGTGTAAAAGTTGTGACTTGTGTTAAATATTCACTGCCAGTGCTGCCAGAACTGGGATATGGAGCTCGTGTATTTCAGGCAAAGCCAGTACAGGTCAGGGCTGTATATCCCGGTTCTGTGCATACCTGGGTTTCCTTTTCCTCCTCTCTCCACTCAGCCAAAGCCTCTGAGCTCTACCAGGAGGGGCCACAGCTCACCCAAGGGCTGCTGCTCATCCCTTGTTTTGGTTTGAAAAGACAGGAGTCTGTGAAGGAAGGCAAAAGCCTCCTGGGAAATGGAAAAGGTAAACCCCCTCCCTCCAAATCACCAAAATTTAAAAAAAAAGGCTCTCAGGCAAAGACATGGGAATGGGAATAACAGTTCTTTACTAGGAGAAAAATAATAAAAATAATAATAATAAAAAAATGTAATTAGTACAAACAAAACCAGTGATAGAGTCAGAGACCTGACACCCTGAGGAGTCAGGGTGTTGGTAACAGTCCAGTTAAATGGTGGCTGCTCCTCCTGGAGGGGCAGATGAAATGCTGCTGGAGCGGGGATCTGGAGAAGGGTGGAGTTTTCTCTGAAGGTCTGGTAGTAGTTGGGCCTGGTCTTCCTCTGGGAATCCAGCGAAGTGGCTGCTCTGATGTCCCAAAAATGCTGATTTTATGCAGGTAGGGGTGCTTGGCTCCTCCCTCTGGGCGGAGCATCTCACCATGGATGATGTAACTTTCCCATTCATTCAGTGAGTCATTCCATAGCCCATTAACAGAAGACATCTCCCTGGAGGGAGACATTGTTCTTGGGAGAGATAAGAAAACTCCCAACCTCCAACAGATGGCAATAGAATACATGCTGATCTTACAAGCCAGGACATCCCTGGAGTGATTCCTGCTGGATGGGTGGGTGTTTATCCATAGGTACAGACACACCCACGCCCCTGGGGCTGCTGGAGCAGAGAATTCTGCACAGATGATGAGCTCCTTTAACACTCTCCACCCACACACAGCAGAAACCCCCTCAACACTGAATGTTAAGCTGCCTGTAAGTAACATGGGAATGGAAATGTTCAAGAGACAGAAAGCTTTTTCCCTCTAAGAAAATGGGAAATCACACAGTCTATCTTCCAGTGCACATCACAAGCATCCTGGGACATGACTGGAGACATCTCTGGAAGCACCAGAGTGGAAGAAGTTCCTCTAATGATGCAGTAAAACTACAGCTGTACCACACCACAGTCAATAATTACTGGCATCTAAGGCTACAGGGGAATTCACTATAGATTCATATATATATGTGAGGAAAAGCTATTTGATCCAAGAAACATAATGGCTGCACTGACCTTTCCTCACTGCTCCCTCACCTTCACAGGCTGCTGCAGGTCCTCGTGGCTGAGAGCAGCTTCTCCCACACCTTCCTGCATTTAGAGAGGTCCCAAGAACACCCTCTGACCCCAGCATCACCTGGGGGCAGCTGCTGCTCCCTCCCCTTCCCTCGGAGCCCAAGAGATTGTGCTTCTTGCTAAAAAACCCAGCAGTGTGTTCAAAGTCTGAAATCTGCCCCAAAGCTAGATGTGCTCCCAGGGCAATGTTGGGATGCAGCTGAAACTTTTAGTCAGGTATTGGGAAATGTTCCTGCTGCTAGAGTTCAGATAAAGGAAGTGGGGAAGAGAAATGAGGGGCACAATATAAGCATAAAGCGCCTCTAACATTATAGAATGAGTTGCACTATGTGTTACTCCTTAAAACCCCAGCTCTGGCTCTCCTTGCTCATTCCCTGTGCTGAGGACACTGAAAGCAGTTGCTGGTGTATTTTGTGCATCTTTGCAACACACAACAGTCCCTCCCTGAGAGTCTGGAGGGCTGCACAGCACTTTTAAATGTATAAACCTAATTAAAATACCTGAAATATTATTTTTGGTTGGCGAATGACTTACACCAGAAAGACAGTAGGTCAAGATTAGATGTTAGGATGAAATTATTCCCTGTGAGGGAGGAATGGCCCTGGCACAGGGTGCCCAGAGAAGCTGTGACTGCCCCTGGACCCTTGGCAGTGCCCAAGGCCAGGTTGGACAGAGTTTGGACAGCCTGGGACAGTGGAAGGTGTCACTGCCATGGTAGTGGTGCACTGGATGATGTTTGAGGTCTATTCCAGCCAAAGCCATTCTATGATTCTATGATTCCACAATTCTAAATACTACTATAGAGAAGAGTTATTACTTTATCTAATGTAAATTCTCTTTTGCAGGGCTTTACAGAAGATGCAGAGTTTATTTCAAATTTAGTAATGTGTCCACCTGCAAGAATTAATTCTAGTGAGTCATTTGGCAAATTGAGCCGATCTACATTATACAAGAGCAAAGACCTAATGGAGTCTAAGATGTGTTGTTGTGTATATTATTACATAAAATATCTTCCACACAGATAATTCTTTAATGGGACTTAAATGTTCAGATTTCAGAGCCACTGGTTACAGCTCAGCAAAGGCACTGCAGCATGCAAATCCCAGGAATCTCTGGTTTCACAACGCTGTTCCACTAACAGGGTTTGCACAGGATTGATTGTGCCTTGCTTCTTCCAGGCAAAACTACAAACCCAATCCAAACTCAGTGGAGTTAAGCTTTAATAGAGAAAGGGCCTGCTGAATGTAAATGTAGTTCACAGGTTAGATTCTAAGGTCTAAGTGTGCCTCTGCTGCTCCCAGACAAGTTTATTTTATTGTACTTCCTATGGATTGCCATTGCCCCCTGTTTGGCTGTGCTCAGGGTGTGACAGTTCAGGAGGATCCGTGGAGCCCTGGGGAACCTGTGGGGATCCTGGTGGGGAGCAGGAAGAATTGCCTAATGATCCCTACAAAAACACTTCTGTTCTCTTTTCCACTTAGAAATAAATGAATCATGGGCCACCAGCAGATCGAGGTGGCTCTTTAAAACTTACTTGAACCACATTAGAAACAGATATTGGACAATTCATCACTTCACAAAGCAAAATAGGTCCTTAAGGAATGTATTTTGAAGTCTGTTAACAGTTCCAAAAAGCTCAGAAAGCACTGGGTGCTGTGCTCAGGGGTCTTCAAAAATAGAGCTCAGCTTGGAAACCCTCCTCTGGCCAGCTTGCTGTCCTTCACCCTGCATGGCTTTCACTGGATCACCAGGATCACATCCCCCAGCACTGCAGGCGGGCAGTGGATGGCTCAGAATCCCATAAGTGTTGAGACTGAAGGAACCTGTGGAGATCATCTTCTCCCACCCATAGCAGTGGTGCTAGAGCACAGGTAGTACTCTGCTAGATACTTGAATATTTTTTTTTTTTTTTAAGCTAGGATAAGTAAATTGGAGGGGTTTAATTCTTAAATTAAACATTATTTTTCAGGTATAAGGCCTACCATGAGATTAGGTAGTGTGAGTAAGAATATATCCCATATTGATACTGCACAATGCTGGGACTCATTCTTATGACAAAGATTTTAATGTGAACAGAAAAGAAATCCAATCAAATCATTGTTATAGCCGTAATTAAGCCAGCTCCCTTTTTTAAGACTAAATGCTTGAGCTTTAGGATTTAATTTTTCAAAAATACAAACCTGCAAAAATTGATCTAATTATCAATTAGTTTTACACTTCCTGGATTTATTCTACATAAATGCAATTTAGCTAAATGGTTCTGTGCCAAACATTTAGTTAAGTTTTTTTTTCCTTGTTATGATGAAATATAAACATTTGAAGAAAGAATTTCTTCATCGTGGAGATGAGGCTGTAGTGTCAGGCAGCACGACCAGCCTGAGCAGCAGAACGGAGCCTTTCAACTTTCTGCTGCTACTAAAATCAAACCAAAAAATGAGGGACTTTCATGGCCATTCAGCCCAGAGTACTGGCTTAAAATAGAATCTATTCTTGGCTGGTATCAAATATTTTAACATTAAAGGTTCTATTAATACCATTCAATAATATATGCCTTTTTAACATAGAACACGTAGGTCAATTTTTGATCAAGATTAAAACTTCTCCATGAGAAATGACTTCATTCTGCCCCCTGATTAATAGAACAGCCTATTTTTCATGTGTTTAAATAAATAAGTATGAGAGTGTATCAAAGAGGCGAGCCTAACTAGGCAGGCTATGAAAATATAATGCTCAGGGAAGTCCATCAAACTGCAGCTGCAATTCCAGCACTGTTGCTCCTGCATTTCTGCAGCATGCAGAAACGGTGGCACAGATCCTCCCGTGTGGAAGGAAACATTGCTCTGTCAAGGTTTCCATTCACAGCTTTAACAGCACAGCCACAATTTCTCCTTAAAAGAAAATTACCACCACGCAGCTCTGCATCTATCATTTCATGGTGTTCTTCCCATTTTTGATTCAGCATTTATGAGCTTGCTTTTAGCTACGAGTTTATTATTATCCATTTCTAGGAAGCCAAGAAACTAGTAAATTATGTATTTGAAAGCCCTGCTGGCTGACATTTTTAAAGTTCATTGGATTTTTTTTTTCTTCTTTTGCAGAGTAGAAATTTGTAGCAAACACTCAAGATCTGATAACTGATTCCCATTTAGATGTCATTGAGACATAAGTGCAATGTATTTTCATTAATATTTCATCGTGCAAGTGTTCCTTGCTCTGACATTGCCATCTTGTAGTTATTTGTCCCCCATCTAAAGAGCAACTTGTAATCAGATCGGGATATTGGACTTCATTATCTGTCACCACACATTCTTAGCACAGAGAATGTTATTAAGTTATAATTGCCTCTGTTTTTCCCTTACGGGAAGATGAAGAACAATAGACAACAATATATGGATTCATTATGAGACAAAAAAACCCAGGTTGACAACAGGCATAAAACTGGCAAAGACATCGAGGTTCTGGAGTCAAAACTTTTATTTCCACTTGGGGTGGTTTTTTATGGCCTGATGGGCCCAGGACATTTAAGGAACTCATGGAAGGTGGCTCCTGACTGAGCAGATGCTGGACTGAAACCATGACCACTAAACACAACCCATATTTAACTGGTTAATAAATAAATAACTAATAAGTAACATTTAATAAATGAAGACGAGCTAAGTTTTGAAGGTAGCACAACATTTTGTGATGAATTTGTGACTTTATATCAAAATACTGTGGTTTTTATAACCAAATGTGACAACGGAAGATGCACATTGATTGAACAGCCACAAGTAAATATCTTTTAAAATAAAAAAATCTAAAAAGTCTCTGGTTTGCTTTTGGAACTGACATCAGTCTAACAAATAGAAAATAAATGGCAGTACTAGGTATTTTGAGTGAGATTACTTCAATATGTTATGCAATAAATTGTTTAAACAACAGGTCCCTGAACTGTTGCAATAATTAGATGTATATTTTGTAGGTGCAGATATAAATTTTTTTCCATCCTCCATAAGACGAAGTTCTGTTCTGTGTTACATCAGGTTAAATTACATAATCCAGAGCTAAATGAGGAAGAAGAATTCCACTTTAAATAACTGAAATGGAAAGTAACACTGAAGAAGATCTTTCAGTAAAAAGTTTCTGATTATCTACCATTAAGAATTTATAGGCAAAGAAAGAGAACCTGTCACACTTCATCATAGCTGGGGCTGGCTCTGTCTATTAAAGTTCCCAGTGAAGCAGCAATTTGGTAGCAGTTAAAGGAAATTCTGAAGCTCAGTAACAGACACTGCACATTTTCCATGTTTTCCATTTCAATATTCAGGGTGATCTAAAGATGTTGCTGCTGCAGGAGCTGAGGAGGAGCCCAGATCCAGGAGCATCCTCCCTTTGTGAGCAGTGCAGAGCCCAGTGGGTCTCTGGGGGCAAACTGGGTCCATATCCTCTTTCATTTTCCTTCCCCCACCAATTCAGGTTGCTCCCTCTGTGGAGAGGAAGAAGATGTCATAAAACAAGTTATGTTGATGCTTTGCCATCAGGAAATTTTAAATTTGCCATACAAATCCTGCACGGTTCCTGTATGGCTTCCTTAAGTCTTCAGAGAGGTACCCAGCTCCTAAATCTATTGTATTATATTTCCACTTTATAGCGTGCTATAGATTTTTTGTATTAGCAATAACTAACTGCATTGTGAAAGTTATTGAGGGAACAGCTGCAGAATTTGAATCCTGTGTGGGAATGAATTGGTGCTTCTGGCACAGGGGAAGGAATAAAAAGTGTTTGGGGCCTCAGGGAAGTTTCTGTGAAAAAACAGCTCTAAAATAATTTCAGTTGTTACCTTTAGGTTTCAGTCCCAAGCCCAAGCTCTGCTGCTCTAAGTAATGCTCCTCATTGTGTGCAGACTCCAACTGCTCCTTCTCCAAGGCTACATTTGCTCTGTTCTGATTTTCCCACCCCCCAAGGATCTGTACTAGATACTGCACAAATAGCTGGGGAGGTTTGGGCTGGATGGCCCCTGGTAGAACACACTTAATCAGATATGGACAGGAAACATCATGTCAAGCATCCCCTTTTGCTTTATTCTTATCACCACAGCAGGATCATCCACACTGAGGCTCGTGTGACAAATGCCCACAAATACCTGCAAGGTAAAAAAACAATCTGTGATAAGCAGAGACACAAAACCACTGGTTGAGCCGTGCTGGGGATGCCAGAAGCAAATGTAATATAAAAATTTACTGTATTTCATAGAAAACAAATGGTGTTCAGCTGTAATTGTCATGGAGGCTGATATTACATTTACCAGCTGAAATCACAACCCAGCCTGCTGAAATGCATGGCATGATCAATAGTGAAGCAGTGTCAGCAAGAAGGAAATAATGATTGCATCCACACAGGCTGAAACTGAGATTTGCCTCTGTGCACAGAGCTACAGCATCTTCATTCTGCTACCACATATTGAAAAAAGAAATATCCACCAGTAGTCAGTGTTTTGGTCTGTCACCAATAATCTACATCCACAATTACAGTCCAGCCTGTGCCCACAGAGTCAGTGCATTGCATTCACAGCTAGTACTGGTGTGTAAAATCACTTGTAGGTACAAGATAAATAAGGATGAAAAGTCATCTTAAGTAACCTTCTACAACTACATAAATAATATTATGAATATAATTTAAACTAAAAATTATTTAAAGCAATTCTCAAAATGAAAACCTTTGATAGCTATTTCTGTTTACATTACCTTTATTATAGCTCAGTTTTTCCTTTTTAAATGGCCTTATTTTGCTAGGAACAGCAGAAAGGACCTGATACTCTCAGCTTTTATCAGGTCATTTTGTGCATGCAGCAGAAATTCCCATCCAGTGTTTCTCAAAAGGTGCAGAGTCCTTTAGATGATGATTGTCCAGGAGGTGGCTGATGTTCTTATGCTCCTTATTGATGCCATTCACTCCTTCAAGTTCTGTTCAGAAAAGAAGAAAGCAGATCCAAGTTACCACTTTGAACCATTTCTAATATCAGTGTTCATTTTAGATAACCTTTTTTTCTCTTTGAGTGGGGACATAACAATCATTGGTTCAGCTGGAGCTGAGCCACCTTCATAATTATAAGACAAAACATCACAAACCAATTGGCATTTCAGTGTAGCAAAATCCCAATTCTGGCATTCTGGAATGTTTCCTCGGAAATTGGATACAATACTTCTGGGATCAGTTTATTAAATTTGTCCCACATAGACTCTGACCTTTCAAAACACAGAAAAGATCACATGGCAGATCACTCTCAGGAGTGATTTTATTGTGGCTCTGACCTCTCCCTCTGACCTTGGGAGTAATGTTTTATGTAGAGACAGCAGAACAGAATATTTCTTTTATTCTTTGAAATGGGAAAAACAATAATTTTTGAATATTCATACAGCCCTCTTTAAATATATATGCAGAGCAGATTATTGCATGAGACTTCTATAATCCTTGATCATTTACCATACAGGTCAGTGAAAAACATCCATAATTTAGATCCAATTTCAATCTTTGCGAGCCCAGAGAACACAACTGACACTGGCTTGTATTAAAAAAGGTAGAATATGAGATGCTATTGTTCATTTATAGAGCAGCAATTATGCATGGAACTATTTCACTGGAATTCTACATTTATAAATTCTGCTTTGCTTCTCTTTAAATAGATTGCTTTTATCAAGTATTACAAATGGAGCTGACAGCCTCCTGTGGTTGGGGCTGTACAGTTATTTGTGTAGCTTCTTCTGGATTCCTTGTAATGGTTAAATTTTAATTATTGCAGATGGAATTACCTTCCAGAAATCTCTCCCATGATTTTTGGAAGTCTGGTCTGATCTTTTCTCCAGCAAAGAAAAGGAAATAATGACATTGAGTTGATCATATCAGGATATATGCAAGATTTGCCCTTGGCCCTTGATTTGAAACAGGATTGGAAAGTTGATGGGATGAACTGTAGTGCAGTGAGAGAGATTCCTGAATCTGTCCTTATGAGAAGAGATTCACGTTTTACATGGGTAAACTCCTAAAAGCCACCAAATTGCTAATCTTTCCTTTGAATTTCCTGGTAACATTTCAAAACCTGTCTGCACTGAGCAGGAGCCAGAAGCCATCACAGGCCCATGGGATATGCAAGGCAGAAGATAAATGGATACACACATAGACCAAGGGAATAATGTATACAAATAAATAAATAAATAAATAAATATCTCAATTTTTCTGCAATGATGTTATAAAACCAAGTATATTAATGAATCGCATCAACAGGAAAAAGTAAACCCAAGGAAGAAAAGAAAGCATACAGGTCGTTTTAGTGCAAGAACTAAAAAGAACTAAAATCACAAGATGGAGTGAGAAAATTTATTCCAGCTACCAGAAGGCACCAGCAAACAAAATCACTGACAAATTAAACACAGGTGTCAAACAAAATCCTTGTATTACTTTGTCATCCTGAGAGACATAAGTTCTTCTAATATGAGCAAAATTTTGTGAAGATATTTTTGATGTATTGTCCACTGAACACCCAGAACATGTTGAGGATGTATCAACAAAACATGTGCAGAAAAATGGATCCTTTGCTCATCCTCGTAGAAACCTCTTACCTCTGCTAAGGTGGACATGTACAGAATGCAACCATGAGGAAAGAACTGGAAAGGAGCCACTCAAGGGTGAAGATCAGTAAAATTCAGCTATTTTTATTTTTTCTGGGGCTTTGCCACCCGAATTTATGTAGGACTTTGAGTCCCTCCATCCATCATAGACAAATGCTGCAAAGACAGAAGATGGAACTGTGTGTTCCAGCACAGCACATGAATTTTTTTCCTTGCACAGAGCTATTTTTGCTTTTTTTCCTTGCATTATAATAATTATCTATAGCTCCTTATCCCCATGCCTTCAAACCTGATTTTTAAAGACTCCTTAACATGACATTGTTACCCAGACACACACTCATTCCTCTTTCAGTGCATCTGTTGCAGCCACAAGACAAATCACAGGCATGCCAGAAGCCCACAAATAATCTCATTAATACATGTGAGTGTTCTCCTGTGCCTTTCTGTACATCTGTGCTTCAGCCCAGATCAGACATTGCCTAGCAATGCTGCGAGGGTCAGATTTTATTTATCCTCACCAAAATTGTCATGCTGAGAGCAGCACAGGCTGCAGACTGATCCAGGCATTCACATCTGATTCCTGAGCTGCTGGTCATGAGGAATCACAATAGACATTTGTTTGAGGGATAAATCCAAATATATTGGGAAAATGCACACTGTGAGCACGTTTCATTTGACTGTTTCCATCAGAGTCGGTGCCTTTTAATTAGGGGATGCCTGAACAAACACAGCAATGTTTGCTGGAGCTGATGGAAAAGATGGCTCTACCTAAAGTACAATAGTGCATTGAGAAATATTAGTGAAAAGCAAATATCCCAGTGTCTCTGCCCCTGCACTGAGCTGGAAGATGGAATTATGACTGCCACAATCTCTGCTTCAAGGAGAGAAGGAGAAGTGGAGTGGGACCTCCTGAGCCCACAGCTCTGCTACTGCTGCTGCCTCTGCTGACCTGGACTCCTCAGCTTAGTTCAGCCTTGGTTCCAACCCACCTGCAGGCAAGGTGCACTTCTGAGCTGGGAAAAATTTCCTGCTGAGTATGTGCTGACTGACATCCCTAGCTGGTTCTGTGTGGAAGTTACAGGAAAGGACAGCCTTCAAAACTGAACCTGAAACAGAGCAAAGTGAGAAAAGATGTGAGAGTGGTGGGCCCCTTGGACTTTGAGAACTACAGTACCAGCTGCCTTTAAATCAAGATATCATGTCAGATGGTGCTCATTTTTCTAAGCCTTCCACTCTCTAGGCTGTTGGATTTGCACTTTACTTTCTATTATTACTTTTTTATTAGGAAAACTTAAATCCTGTTGAGAAGAGCTTATTTAGGTTGAGCTGTTGCCTTTAGCTCCAGAACATTAAGTCCTGACAAATGCTTCTTTTGAAGGCTGACACCTGTTTGTTTGGCATTTCCCACGTCCAGGAGCTCACTAGACTATAATAACACTCAGCACAGCAGAAGCACAGAGAATGAATTAAAGCAGAAATGCTTTCAGAAAGGAAAGAGCAGTACAAAAGAACATCCCTTTGCTCTGTATTTTCGAGGGGACCTCGGATGAGCTCAGCTCCAAGCTGTATGGGTTTTTTTTCTGTAATGGGATTGTAATGCCCACGAAACAACCCAGAGCAGAAGCCCTAGAGACCAGAAAATCCTGTCTTAAAACAGCTACAAAACAGCAGGAGAAACAGAGTCTTTGCTGACTCTTTTAAAAAAGTGGAGAGAAATACCCTTATTATCAGACCAAATATCAGGAATCTGCCCCTTTTGTATTAAAGTGTTGGAGAAGAATGGTTCATAAATACTCAGAGATGGGACTCTGCTAGATTTTCTTTTACATTTGGCTTCATGAGGATTTTGATGGTAAGTTTCTTCAAATAATGATTTATCAGTATGGGGAGGTCTACATTTAGAAGAGAACCTGAAGCCCACTTAAATCACTAGAGGAAACTCTCAAGAACTCTCCCTAAGCTTAGAGCTGACCCACAGGGCAAGACTCCAAATTTATTTACCTCTGCCACGTACCTAGGCACCACACCTATTGTTTTTATTTTATTCACCAGAGTTTCAGGTCAGAATTTGCAACTGAAATTGAGTAATATGGTCATTAGGAACTGGGTGCTTGAATTAATTCTTAAAAAAAAAAATCCACCTCATCTGGATTTTTCAAAACCCGCTTTTACAATCTTACAAAATGGATTCTATGCAGACAATATTTTTTTCTATGGACAACAATACATTTAGTCCCTTTTTGTGCAAGATTAACCACGATGGAATATATATTCAATCATGTCCTGGAAACTGTAAGAATATTAAACAAAATCTGTTAGATTTATTTCATTAAAGAGATGACAAAAAATCCTTTTAAAACTAGATTACAGGGAGTACTGCAACAATTCTTAAATTCTATACTAAAAAAGTGGCCAAAATGTATAAAATCTATTTAGAATAGTTTCACAACACAGCAAACTTTCTAATCAAACTAAATATCCTCCAGGAATGTATTTTTTCAGCAATTTTAAGCTGGGGATTCTGTTGGCAGAACTCTATCCTTTTTAAGAGCACTCAGCACATTCTTTATAACACTGGTTTCATCTTTTCTCAAATTTGCTAATGTGAAATATCCCATACAAGGCTCTGCCTTAAAATGACATTTTGGTGAAAATTCACCTCCAACACTTCAGGTGATTCTGTAAATAAGATTAAAGAGCAGATGAATTTATGAAAAAGACATACAAGTACTCAGAGGAGCAGAGCTGGGCTCCCCAGCTGGCTGGTTCAGAGAAAACAGAACTCCTGGTGGCAAGAGCTGCTCTCCCAGCCTTTGCATGGCAGATCCTTTAGTTCCACCTCGTTAATCAGCCAGGTAGTGCAGAAAGAAATAAGAAATAACCCTTTTCTCTGTGTTTTGGTCCTGGACACAAAATGAGTACACAGAAGTTTGGCAAGTTTAAAAGAGAAAAAGACTTGGTTTTATTCAAACATTTATTTATAGAATTCTAAATGTGACTATGGACTGGAGGATGGAATTACCACCTCTCCAACCACACTGGTCCAAAGATCAATCAATCATTTCTCTCTACTCACAGAGAAATATGTAAACTATTCTATTTATACATGAAATTGTGTGGGAACTCTGACTCTCATATATGTAAACATTACCAGAAGGCTAAGGAAGTTTTATGAGAACTTTAAAACTTTCAAAAGAACTATAAAAGAAAACTTAACACTTTTAAAACTCAGGGCAACACCAGCACAGCTTTACCCCAAGAGCCCCTGTGGCTGATGGAGAACGGGGCCATGCCCTGCCCGTGGCCTTGCTGCAGCCACAGTGGGGTCTCTGCTCTCCCTGGGTGCAAAACTGGGTGCAAAAATGAGTTTTCTCTCATGGGACCCCAGACACATCCCTGTGAGCCTGTTGGTGCCTCGGGGGCTCCACGTGGCAGATTTCATCTGAAGGCTCCCATGCCGCCACCTCTGAACAGGAACTGGTCAGGCCTCAGTTTTTGTGCCTCTGTATTTATACACATGGAAAGGTCACTGCTATTTGTGTGGGTGAACAGGAAAAGTTGTTTTTTGTGGTTGGTAGCAATCAAATTTTAAAAATATAGTGATTAGAATTTATACAAACATATTCACAGATGTATACACATATATAAATATATATATATACATTTATAAGCTAAATATCAGAGTGTCTAAACTACAGATATCTGAAAGCTTTATGTAACTAAAATATATTATTATCTACCTGCAAACTATGACTTGTTGCAACTGCATTGCTGCAGGCAGGGCTGTAAAGCCAGTTTTATTACACAGGTGGGTGCTTCACCTTTTATTTAACATTGGCAGGTTTTAACTGGTGGGCTTAGATTTACATTGTTGGACAAAGGACTTAAAGCAAATTGCATCTCTTAATTAACTGAATGATCCATATTGCATTTCATGCCTGAGCAAATATAATTGAAACAATTGAAACCATATTAGCAACACAGAAAATAATCAAACTACTGGCTTAACTCTTGGTAAACACTGATCACCTTTCTGATATTGCAACAAAAATGGAACACCAGCAGTGCTGTAAAGGATTAACATCAGTGCTGGTGGATTTACAGCCCAAAGTGCTATTCTGTTTCCAGCTCTGTAATTTCCTAGAAGACAGGCCCAAAATCACACTCAAAGCACATAGCAATCATAACTGAGGGAGACATTTCTCATCTCAGACGTTTCTTACCAGAAGACTTTGGAATACAAAATTAGTAACCAAACATTAATCTTTTCTAGAGAAAAAGCAATCATGACTTAAAAAAGGTAATCTAAAGACATGTGTAGTTATGTTATTTCATATTGTACAGGTTCAGGCTTCACACTCATGGCTGAAGGCAGTGGGTTACTCACAGAATCCCAGAAAGGTTTGGGTTGGAAGGGACATTAAAGCCCATCCCATCCCACCCCTGCCATGGCAGGGACACCTTTCACTGTCCCAGGCTGCTCCAAGCCCTGTCCAGCCTGGCCTGGGACACTTCCAGGGATCCAGGGACACCCACAGCTTCCCTGGGCACCTGTGCCAGCTTTCTGTGAGGGCAATGGACAAGGCAGAAAGGGACTCAAACAGTAGCAATGCTTTTATCTCCTGTGACAAGTTTGTTTGAAGATTTTTTTTATAGATAAACATGTCATTTCTGAATATTTTTGTACATTTCTTTTCAAGAATTTAAATCTACACAACACCTAAATAGGCTCCTCTTCATATGTATTATTCATGTTTACAGTTTTATGTGTCATTACCTCAGTGTATACGAGTTGTAAAACCAGTATTAACTTTGCAGAGGACATTCTGAACTGATAGAAGGGCTACACACAAATTCAGCAAAAAATTCATTTTGCATTATAGAAGGTTTCAAATAGTTCACTTGCTAAAACCCATTTTATTAGTGAATGAGGATTATCACAATATATCGAAAGGGAAACTTAAAAGAATATATTGTGTGAAACTATTTCTGAATTTTAAATCAACATCATCCAAAAGAAACCACAGAAGTTCAAATCAATTGATCCAAAAGTAGTTTAAAATCAGTGTCATACTTTGCCTATCAAGATCATTCTGCTGATTCTTAGTTCTATGTCAGTAGTTCATTGACATAAAACTAGAGCTGAGTACTCTGTGATGAATAATTTATTTCACCAATTTTTCCTCCTTTTTTTTTTTCCTGTGACATATCCATGAATAAACAGATCACAGTTTTCTTTATTCCTAATTCAAAGTTCTCTGACAGTCCCTCCTCTACCAGCTTATTTTTACAGTGCTTCCATGTACATTTCATATTTTGAATTTGAGGAGGGTTGGCATCAGAGCTCTGTAGTTTCCCTGTGCGTGGTTGTGCCCCATTGTTTCTATTCCCCAGCTGGACTCTTCTGAAGTAATTGGGTGTGAATGTTCATGGAGAATAAATTAGACTGAGCTTTTTTTGTGATCCTGAATGTAAAACCAACTCTCTCTCTGTGCATTGGCACCAATAAAACGCAGAAGAAATTCCACAAAAAGCTGACACACAAAAGGCATGAGCACAGCTGAAAGGAATGAATTTAAAAATTCATATGAATATTCATAGGATATTTTTTTTTCTAGTGTGTTCTCTAATTAGATGGTAGGAAAACAACTTTTTCTCTTAGTGGATTCAACTTTGGACGGTTCACCTGTTCCTGATGAGGCCACCAGGAACATCTCAGTGGTTGAAAGGAAGGACAAGCTCGGGGCTCGTGTCATTCTGGAGCTCAGTCAGTCTTTTTCTGGCCCCAAGCCTAAAGGCATCTCTTGTCTCTGTTAGAGCTGTGAACTGTTAGGAGGACTCAAGCTGAGAGGAGAGCGGGGCTGTTCCTCAGGGAGGGGAGGAGGGGAGCACCCTTCCCTGTGTGCACACTCTCACTGAGCAGAGTTTTGCTGCTGCAGAGTCAGCAGCCAGCTAAAGCTGTGATCCCAGCACCTCTGAGCTGTGTGTGAAGCACAGATTTCCCCACTGCACGTGGGAGGCTGTGCCGAAACACATCCCTGACACCAGCCACGGATGGATGGAGGCTCTCCCCATTCCCCACATTGTGGCAAGCACATTT